CATATTTTGTAATTTATTTATATTTTATTATCCTATTTCAACCGCCTAAGAGATTGTTTTGTAAGCTGTGCTTTAGCAGTCAAATTATAGGATAAAGAGGCATAACATTTGAATTCTCTGGAATGGCAACGCATGAGTAATATCCTGTATATGGGTGTCTGGTATCGCGTACCATCAGAACTCACAGCAATGTTTGGCATTCCAATTACATAAATAAAAATACTATCTGTTTGTTATGTATATTTTTACAAACTATGGTAACATAATAGAAAGTATGTAATGGGCTGGCTAGTCGGTCCAAAGGATAATCGATAGAGTTCTCGAAACTTAGAAAGCGGTGTCCTCGTATATGATAATGATTGTCAATTAGTTGATGTAGCTATATATGTAATTGTCCTATTCCGCAATAGAATGGAAGGCAACAGCGCCGTAAAAAGTAGACTATATGTATATATTCGAACTGTATACATTCTTCAATCCCATTAGTTACGACCGTTATTTCAGATGGTGTAAATCCTTTAATTTCTCTAGCAGAGATAAACTGTTAAATGTCGTCTGAATACCTTACCGGATAAGAGGTATATCTTAGCTCTCTGCAAAGACAACGTGAGTATTTTCACGGATGTTACATGATAATGTGATGTGTATAGTGCAGTTCATATATATATGCAACAGTTACCACTTATCATCAGGCCATCAGCTTGTTTGCCAATCCAATTACATGTAATATATATTTATTAATATTAATAATATTATTATTCTGTACCATGTTATTCTACGCATTTCTGAAACATATCAATTAGAACAATATCTATTTGTAATATTCTTATAATTAATGATAATGATGACCACGCAAATAGAATATCATCATCACCATCGCAGCACGGAAGACGTCCACTGCTAGTCATAGGCCTCCCCCAAAGATCTCCACGACGGACCTGCGCTGCTCACATCCAATGCCTTCCAAATAGAATATAGTAAAATAATAAAAACATTAAAATTCATTGCTTAATCTTTTTATTTTTTGCTCTCCCCACAACTTTTACATTCACGGTCATTCTGCGGATATTATATCATAGGATTAGCCGCCTACTGACATTAATGAGGTCGTAATAAAAAATCTTATTACAGGAAATTGTCCACAGAACGGTTCCAGCACGTCCCTAAATCTGCAGTAAATAATAAATCCACCGCTGTGTTGTTGACATAAACAAATGCATAACGTCTAGTATGAAGACAGGAAAGCGCACCATTTTCATTTTCGTCGACACACGTCATATAAAAGTCGCGCATTAAAATTTATTCACATCTGTCCAACTTGTGAAAATATGAAACTCCGTGTTTTATTAATATCCTTTAAAAGCTGTGAATGACGTAGACAAGTAACTTGAAATTATATTGTTCATTATAAAATACCTACTGGTGCCGGACTAGGTTAAGTACAAATCATTACGAGTATGACGACGACTTATCCTTTGATGTCTGGATCAAAGGATAAGACATCCGTCATACTCGTGGTATAGATATTGCGATGTGTTGATGGGGTATATTACTTTGTTCGTTAACCAATTTTTATAATTTCAGTTTTGTGAATAATTTTATAATAGATTCCCAAAATAAAACTGTTTTTGCTAGCCTTATCACCTGACACTGGCCAGATGAATTCTGGTCTAATACTGTATCTTAATCTCTATGTACTAAATATTCAAATTTATCTAAAAGTTTCTATATAAGATTTTGTATAACAATAATAAATAGTAACTACCCAAACATTTATACATTCGTCTTTCCCTTCATTCATCTTTTGATACTTTTGCGTTTATAACTTTACTATTGTCGCCCTGGCTTTACCCGGGTGCTCATAATTGAGCTAAATTTGTATGTATTAACATAATGTGTATGTGCTACACAAAGCACGTGCAATAGAAAAAAATCTTATTATTATTGATTTAAAAACTATTTCACAGTTTTTAAATCAACTATTTTTTGTGATAATCTATAGAATACAAAATAAATAATATTTGAAAGTAAACTGAACGTTTGAAAAGTGAGAGTATTTATTTTACTATTTTGCTCTTTTTCAGTTATGCGCCGCTTTTAATTCTTAACTTTGATCTTTCTATGTAGAAATATGTAATTATGTCTCTTAAATTTATATTTAAACAAGATCTTAATACAATATAAACCATCAACGTTTGAATGGCGGATAATTGTGGGATACGTACCCAGTAATTTTGACAATAACAACTTAATAATTACAAAATACATTAATTAGTCCATACATAATAATGACAACGCCAGATGGAAGCCATAGATGTATTCTATAACCATAGATTATTGACATCTAGAATAAAATAATCTAAAAAACAATACCAACTCGAAATCAAACCAAACCAAATTATAGCAGCGTAGTTAGTATACATACTTACTATTAATATTTACTTGTACCTTTGCTCAAATACTCGGTACACAAGAAGTGAGCATTGTTCCTTAATTTCACCTTTGCTTATATAAATGAACTGAGGCTCAGTGAGGCCGCTCGACTCCGTCCGTAATAGGCCTTTAGTTCTGAATCCTTATTCTGTTATTTAATCATTATAATGTAGAAATGTTATTTAAATAAATATATACACAATATATCGGGGAATACATATAAAAATATTTAGAGGAACTGGCAAGAAACTTAAATATTTAAATTCAATAAGTAGCAATGCAAAGCATGTTTATTACTCTACTATATAAATACCAAAAAGCTATATATTGGAGTGATCTGAAAACGATGCGGCAGAGAGCTACCAAGATGCTGTCATATTTAGATAGTGGAAAATGGAAAAGTTATTTATAGACCAAGAAGATTGAATGATATCTCATTTCATAGTTACTAAGTTTTATAATGCATAAAATATAGTAATCCTATGTAAAACAATATTGCACTGACGATTTATTTTATAGACTAATCATAGCGAACACATAAATACATATATAATATTTTTATTTTACACATTTCATTGTTTTACACAGCATTAATAATATGTATGTACTTTACATTAAATTACAATATTATTTTATTTCGCTATCTAAATGTAACAGGATCTTGGTAGCTTAAATGCCGCATTGTAATCAGATCACTCGAATATACAGTTGATATTTATGTAGTACCTATTTTTGGTAGATACTTATTAAACTAGTTGAGTTACTTGGCTGTACTTCACAACTGAAGTATCTACCCGAACTGGACGGTAGGGACTGGGATAAAAAATGATGACGTTCTATATAAATAAATATTTTTTATTTGAACATATTGAACAAGTTAACTAGCGAATGCTTTAATTAAGATATTGTAAACAACTTTGTAATAAGAATAGGAATGTTCAGTGTACAAACTTCCCTATTCATGACGCAATTTAAATAGGTTGTCCGCAACTGTTTATGAATTTCACAAAATATTTAAAGGTTTCACGCACAGAAATGTAGCCCAAAATTCGTACGGAATCTGAAATGTTTGCTAAAAGGCAACAAACACAGTTTCGTTGACTGTACTTTTTTAGCCATATTTGTGGAAATGTTTTTAAATTTTTTTGCTTAAGTACATAAAAAATATCCCACAAAACAGAAATAAATGTATGTATGATGTATATTCTGACTCAAATAAAGCCTTCTCTTTTTTTTTACAATTACATTCTATATAAATGTAATTATACTACGAAAATATGTGTCTATGTGTAAGATAGACAAGGATTAGACATATACAAGGCATTGCTTCATTAGACAGTATTGAGTCCAATCACTGTACTCGTATTTATTTACATGCTCGTGAACTGGTGCTACTTATGGAGACCTGAACAGATCATGTTCAGGTTAAGGTTGCAGATTAAATTATATCTTTCTTATATAAAAATGGAGAAATATGTGACGGTGTGAAAAACAGCATAAGTTACATTGTCTCAAGTTTAATTTAAACCTGAATCTGTATTTTTATAATTATATATTTGAGGAGCAAAATTTCTTATCAGATATTCTTGGCTCGAAACTATACTCCGAACTGACTACATATAATATTTGACTTATTATAAATGTCTGTAATAGATCTGCATGAATAAAGATACTTTATATTTAAGTACAACATCAATTATAAATTACGAAATTAGTATCAGTAATAGTTAATGAAGGTGGAGTTGGTGAAGGATCACGTGATATTATTCCAACCTTAACTTAAAACTTACTTAAAGTAATTCAAATTCTGAGCGACGAATTCGAACTTACCCGTGTAAAGTTCTTCTTAATTTCATAAATCAAATTAAACAATTAATGTTTCAGTAGCACGCTATTTTCCTTGTCCAAATGGATAATTTGAGAGATATTGTATCTGAAATATCTCTTGAGAGACTCTCAAAAGAAATCGCTTATTCATCTTGTACATAAACAGAGTATAATAAATATTTGTAATAACATGTAATACAGGATTTAGAATTATTTATATATATTTTCTTCACGATTTTGTTATATTTTATTTAAAACAAAACAAAATCTTTACAGGTACATTCAAGTTACATGTACGTGATATAATTATTATTATTATTATAAACAACAATACATTAGAAAACATAAAAAAATAAAAGTTTCATATTGGTAAGAATTTTGTTACGCTTACTAGAATATTGTCAATCTATTATCAAATGTTTCATATCTTGATGTACTTAATAAAAAAATAGCAGACATTTTTCAGATGTTCTGTAAAAAAACAATAATCTATATTAAATTATAATGCATAGTTCAGTTACATAGTTACGATTTGGTCACAAATTAGGTATTAGTCATGAGATTTCGATGACCAAGCGATTTAACACAACACTTTTATTGATATTGGTCTTGGTGTTTTCTATGTATCTTATGAATATATTTAATAAAATGTATTTAAATAATATTAGTTGTCTGATATCCATAACACAAACTCTGGTTGGGCGGGGCTGTATAAATGGAGGCTGTATTTGGAAACATTGTTAATCTGAAATATTTAATATGTATTCACATATTATGAATAATATTTTTAAATAATACTTGTTACTACTTATATGTTTTTCTTCTCTTACATAAAAATAGTTTTTACCCAGATATTAATCATAAAATAATAATAATTAATGAAAAGACAGTTATCAATGATGTAGTTTAAAACATAAAAGGACATGAAAACAAACATAAAGAAAACTCGCCTGCTTGAAACTGAAAGATTTATATATTCATTTAACGTAATTTTATATTATTAAACAATTTTTTTAACCTTGTATCCATTGTAGGTGCAGATTTAGTTAATATAACTAACAGCAAGTTGTTTATTTATAATATAAATATCAGTTTTTTTTAGAAAGAATCAATAAACCAATTAACTTGGAAATATATATTCAACATACTTACAACATTGATCTGACATAATGCATTTTCCATTATTATCCCTCAATTGACCTTCTAGACAAAGACAAGCCGGTGCGTAGCAGTCTGAAGATACCGCAGCACACGGGAAGGGATTTTCAAGGTGTTCGCAGGTTCGAAAACAGATCTCATGGTAGCATTTAATATATCTCTCATTAGCAGCACATTCTGATATAAAATATAAATTACACATGGAAGATTAAAAGATAACTTTGCGTGAATCATAATTATATTTAGATTTCAGTAGATTTTTGTAGAGATCTCTCGTGAACAGTGAATATTTAACGAATCACCCACTAATGAACAATAGTCTCTATTAGAAAAAAAGGATATCTTATATATAAAATTCTCGTGTCACAGTTTTCGTTCCCATACTCCTCCGAAACGGCTTGACCGATTCTCATGAAATTTTGTGAGCGTATTGAGTAGGTCTGAGAATCGGCCGACATCTATTTTTCATCCCCCTAAATGTTAGGGGTACACCCCTAATTTTTTTTTTATTTTAAGGCAAAACAACGTTTGCCGGGACAGCTAGTAAGATATATATATATAGCTTGCCCAAATGGCGGAGTCTGTACTCTGTATTTAAATTTAGTTTTTTCTATCAACGGTATTTTATCTTGAATTCCAGTATGAGCTAGTGTAACACTACACGTATACACTATAGTGTACACTAGTGTACACACATGTAAGTTATACGTAAATATACGAATATCTTAATACAAAATTAGAACTAGAATAAACCATAATTATAGGATAATATGAATCTTCTATTTAAGTATAAGTTATAAATCTTGCAATACGTATTTTCTGCAACTGTTGTTTTTTTTAATTGCTGTTTTCATTTGTTTACTCTGTAATTAGAAAATCTAAAAACTGTATAAGTATAAAACAAAGTAACTAATTGTATGCTTATGTATATAATCTTTATTCTATTTATATTAAAAAAAAACTTTATTGACGAAATAAAGCATGGTATAATATTGTAATGATAATATCAAATAAAATACTTAAAATTTACATTACATATATATACAAACAATAAGCTTATTACTATTTTTTTTATTAGTAATTATATAAGAGATTTATGAACTCATTTCCTTTCAGCAGTTTACGTCAGCTAGGATAAGCACTGGTGGATCTAGTGTGAAATAAATTATGAATAAACTTACCAAATGTCTTGTTTTCATCTATCGGTGATAAATAAACAACATTTGCAATTACAGAGAACAAACAAATACAAAATACATATGACGACATAATTGCGACGGAACTGACTTGCTCTTAATACTATGGCTCAACACAGATAGATAGAGACGAACCGACAGTTATACCTATATATTTTAATTTATCCTATTATTATCATGATCATTAATTATCAGCTCTAAGAACATGATTGGTCATAATCAAGTCTGCATAACAAAACCGGTCTTTGCATGTCTTTTACATTTTTACCTGTTTGTACCTGGCTTCTAGTTATTGTTAAAGTCGTTATCAAGAATTTTAAATAATCGACCTATAATATTTCTTACACTAGATTGATAAAAATGTTTTGTAGACAATTAAAATTTATTATCTGATTTAAACTGTAAGCGCGTTAATGAACGTACATATACGTAGATAGGAATATGCATTCTTATTTACAAGTCATGCGTTGGATTATTTTTTCATAGCAGCCACTTGTTTTCATGACTGCTTAGCAGTCATACATCAATAAAGGTATAACTTAGAGTTGTATTGTGATGCAATGAATTGATACTACTCATTGTCTTGATAGTACAAACCTAATTTACGGTATTATTTTGTGAGTAAAATAATAGACTATACAGTTGACTGTCGTTTCAATATATTTCTACATATTGTCAGTTTCAATACCATGAAACTTTATCGGGCAACCACATTACATACGCACTTCCATGAAACAGTATACTGACAACCTAAATCTTGCATTAATACGCGTGGGCAAAAGAGCGTGGGGGTGAGCCTGTTCACAATAAAATTACCCATAGTATAATTATGTTACCCGAACATCACACAAGGTAGTAGAAGCCGCCTAACATTTATCAATTTATTAGGCTACGCAGTGAGTAATAAACTTGAGTTATACATGAACTTCTTCGTCGAATTAGAGCAGTTAAGAATATTGAGGATACAGCAAAATATGAGACTTACGACGTTCTGAATACAGTTTTATAACTTCACTTTATATGGACGTAATAAAATAACAAGTACATATTCTTTGATAAAGTTGCAATCTTGTGGAAAGATGACAATAATGTCGGAATTGTTGGTATCACTTCGCAATTTCTTCAGCGAAATCCATTAGTGTTATGACAACGTACGAATTATGAGTACTGGAAGTGATTGCATGAGCACTCATTGGATTATATCACATTTTATTTTTGATAGACTAATAATATTCTCTCTTTTTAAATTTGACGCGGACATTATTTATACATATAATTAAGAAAAAGAAATTCCCGACACATCGTAAAACCTGGTAGGATCCCGTGATTTTTTCTAATTGTACGTATAAAATTCTCTCTTACAGCTAACTTTCTTTTACTTAATCCCGCAGACATACATAAGCTATCAGTTTAATAACTGTCAAGTTAGAAGTAGATGATACGATGACCATACAATTAGTTAAGATATATGTAATTTAAGTTCATTCATATTATTTTATGAGCCGCACTCTTGTCGGCACAACTTTTGTTGTCATTCTCTTTAAATAAATGTTGACACGACACTGCTCCAACTTCTTTCATAATCTGTTTGATATAAATGTTGATGTTCTCCTTTCCTTTGAAAGTACACACTCTATCCTGAGGAGATAAAACCATCGCTCTTAGGAAATTCCTCCAACTTGTCCTTGACGGGCCTAGGCAGGGAACTCTAAAAAAGGGCGAGTACAATAGATCGATGCAGGTCGCAGTGCTACACGTCTTGTAGCACCGAGTAATAGCCCAAACCCTTTAATAAAAAAGGACATTTTACTTTGTTCAAAAGTATGATTTGTGTAGTTGGAACAGCAAACTGACGACCCGGCTGGTAACCGTCCCACCCGTAATATCACTCATGCGAATCCATTTCTGAGGACAAAGATTTAAAATTAAAAAAATCATACACTTTAGCATTTAGTACACATTATTAACATATCGAATTGGATCGGAACACTAAAATAATTCTGGTAAATAGGTATATAGGTTACACAAGCCATGGTCACAAGTTGACTGGAGTACTACAATGCCAATATCAATAGGTGCCAGCAATTTGTTCAACTTCCGTCACTATACTGTCCAACGAAAATTTACGATAGGTATTATATTACCAGATATCAGTGTATATAAACGCGTATCTTACAATCCAACGGCCAAAGTGAGACTTCAAACTCGAACACTTATTCGAGAACATCGTGATATTTTCACAAAGAATTTTCATAATCGACCTCCAGAGTTATACGGTTAAGTCGTAAATATATTACTTACCATAAAATTATTCGTGTGAAGATCCTAATAACTGTATTAATAGAAATTGTTCCTTCTAGACATTGTTTTGTAGTCAAGCTCCATATGGTACAATTTGTCGCTTCGTGAACACATTAAAAGGAATATCATTTCGCTAATGGACTGCGTATATGTCCACAACTCGAAACAGCGCTCCAGGTGGCCTTTTGTTGACACTTGGGGATTGAGACGTGAGAATATAAATAATATTCCTTTACGACCAGGTATGAATAGTTGGTTTATTATTGCCGACACTTAAGAATATCGTATCAACTATGACATAGAATTACAGGTATATTGAACATTCATATGGACTATGTATTTTTATGATACTATCACATAACCGTAACCAAAATATTTTCATATTTTAACTTAGATTAAATAGCTGTGAGACTATTAGGATTGGCAGCGCGCCTGGGGTGTCACCAGGCGTCCATATGCTACGGTAACCATTTACCATCAGACGGACTGTATGCTTGTTTGCTACCTATCTAGCATAAAAATAATAGAATTAATTTTCATTCATAGATTGCTGGCCCCTAAAGTGCGTTTAAATATGAACATATTGTTTACACTTTTCAATGGAAAAACTAACATGAATTCAAGATGAAATATTACAGTGAATTTGTAATCGATGTAATTTCTGTAACTACAATTTGACAGTTTCTATCTATAAATAGCAGTATTATACCTAACTAGTGTTGTAGTTACTACGATCGGCTTAGGTAACATTATGACCGTCACACGTGAAATAAGTACTAATGCCTATAGTCTGCTGTTCTGCTTTAAAATAAACTTCCTCTGTATACAGAGGAAGTTTATTTTATAGCAGAATAGTGTTCTTGACTATAGTCAAGAAAGTCCATTATAATAGAAATTACAGTGAGTATCCCATATCTCAAAGTTACTTAGTGTTGCTTCGCAGCTAGTTTTGCATTTAGAATGATGACACAATTAGCAGATGTGGCAACTGCAAGACGCGTTTATCGTTCGTTTACTATCTACTTACAGTGCAACTTTGATATTATAAAACAGAAGGGAAATAAATGTATTCATTATTCTAATTAATTCCTTATAATAAGGTTTATTTTACGGTTAGAGGTTACATTGGACTACGATTTGTTTTAACAATATAATTAATTGTTTATTTTTCACAACATTACGTAGATCCTCTACTGATTTCCAAAAATAAATGAGAATGTTCTTTACACATTAGAGATCAGACGTGAAATGCTTTTATGAGATCAAATCGGAACAAATTGTTCAATTCGTTTAATAATACTTTTTCGTATTAATATTAATCTAATTAATTTATTTATTCTCTAAAACAAGACTGACTGCGGGTAATATATTGCGGTAATATATTTAATATCTTAATATAGTTTGATGAAAGTTTATTTAATTACATAAAATTGACTCAGAATATGTATAACTAACACTGAATTATATCCATTCATTGTAAATAAAAATTTGTGCAAAAATAACAAAATATTTTATTAACAAGCGTCGATAGTATTAAATCACTAGAGAACAAAAAGAACAAACATAATACTTAATAGAAACTGTATCCACAAGAAACTATCAGCAATAATTACGACGTGCAAGAGACATCTAATATCCTGTTTAGAATACCATATAAATCATAAGGCTTGGTTGGCAATAGTTGGAATTTCAGGCGAACCCTCGCTACATAATTTAGGTAGCTACCATACAACTGTTGTTACCGTACCAATCTTATTAATTATACACTATTATTTATTCGACCAGACGATGAAAGTACAATAAATAATATATATAATGAACACTACCTGTTATATATTATGTATTAACGCAGTAAATTATAAATATTGAAGAAGTTATTGATTTATTACGAAATTTAAGTGCGTTTGACCTCACCATATGTTGAGTGACGCTCTTAGCTGTTACTAGCAAGCTCTAAAAGTGCCATTCACTATTAATTTGAAAGACCAAATGTTGTAAGTGACGCTGGGAGAGAGTTTCACGGCTTAGATTCTCGCATAAGGTAACTTTACTTTCATGGTATTTAAGTTCACGTTTATTTACGAAATATCCTGTATACTAAATAAAACAGAACTAAGAAATATTTCATTTATGATTTTCTAATTTTGTTACTATAAGCACTACTTAAAAACCCAATTACAATAGTAAAATTTACATTGGACTGCATCTACAATCTTTTTAATTTAAACAACAAACAAATCTTTTTAATATAAACGAATTGAGCTTATATTTATAAATAACTCATATACAGAAGTTAAATAAAAGTAAATTTGTCATAAATCATTGTAATTAACAATGGTTGTTACAAAATATTATAAAGTAAGTACTTATTCTGTTTCTAAAGTCAAAGCTTTACAAATGTCTAGCGTAGATATTACAAAAACCACAAATAATTTAATACTAATAATTATTCGAGCGAATTTGAACTCTAAAGTCATAATGGTATATCACAAACTTGTTCAAATTTAAACTAAGGAAATAGAAGCTATCCCGGACTTGACAAAGCATTCGTCTCCGCAAACAATAGGAGAAGAAATTCGACAAAACGCAAGATAAAGATGAAATATAATTTTGATAATAGAGTAAAATTTATTTCAACTGAGTTTGGCGACTTACTTTATCTGAATTTGTGAGGTGTTAAAGATGTTGTACAGTTTCAGAGTTTGCGGTTTATTAACAGAATTCATGGGGAAAATGGTACAATATTATATTTACACTAACGAATTTATGTAGC